TTACTGAAAGAACAGCAATTCACAGGCAAACCCTCTAAATGAATCTAGAGGTATAAAATGTACATCACCTCTTACTTTGAAATTAGCAGCATATTCCAAACAATGGTAGGTTCCAAGATGTTATTCAATGACCTTTAATTGAGGAGAAAAAAAATGCCCTAAAGAATTTTCCCTATTAAAAGATATTTATATTTGTGTGTGCACACACAACATATGTGCAAACGTTCTACTATTAAAAAGAAAAACACCTTGTTTTTAAGTCACACAAGATTATAAACCAATACAATGAGTGAATTTAAAATATGACATATTATTAAAATCCAGACACAAACAAAAGTAGAAAGGAAGCCTAATTCATTCCAGAAAGTATCAAAACAGACACCTAGGTAAGTAGCCAGCTAGTTAGACAATCTCAAAGCAGTAACTTCTAATTAGTATTGAGAAATTACAATGTTAGTAGTATATGAATACCTCCTGGTGAAACTGAATAGGTGTCTTTTGAATTGTTTTTAGTACCATAGCATGGTTTCACTTTAAGGATTCATTTTTTCCCAGTTTATTCTTTTCAAGGAAAAGCTTTTCTCTGTCCTTTCATAAACAAACAAACAAAAAATGCAACCATTCTTGTAATTTCTCATGCCCCCTTTTTTTGTTGGGGGAGACACTAAGATGGGGTTTCTTTTCTTTTTTTCTTTTTTTGGAAACAACAAACAAATTTCTGAAGAAATGGAGGGCAATTGAAATGGCAGAGTGAAAAGTCAATCAGGCATAAGGCAATCCCTTCCCTGGAAATGTAACAGAGCATTAATAAGTGTAAATGAGCACTAATGATACCTCATTTAGAAGACAGCACTTCCAGCAAACGAGGAGCCACACTGCACTGTGTCAAACTGCCATCACCTCTTCCCCACCATTTCCTTCCAGGAAACCTGTAATCTAAACAAAAACCATGCCTGCACCTCCAGAGTAGTCACACTGTTCTTATTCCTTTTCCTGGGACAACGGCCCACGTTCTCTTCCTCTTACTATGCAGAAGCAAAATACTGTCTGAGGCATTCACAAAGAAAATGATACTGATCGTATGATCTGAGTTATCTTCAAGTCTGTGGTTTTGGAGGGAGGGTGGTGTAAGAAGACATAATTACTAAATCATTCTCAAAACCTATGTTTAACCCTAATGAGTCTGATTTTAGTCAACAGAATCCAGCATAAAGCCTTCTCCTGCCATTTATATAACCAAACAAGTAGAAGTCATAGAAAGAATAAAAAGCATTACCCCAAGCCACCTCTTCCCTTTCTTTTCCTTCTCTTTGCCTTTGTAAGCACTTGAAAACTGAACTGTTTATAACCTAAAAATGACAGATTTTGTGTAGCATTTCACAATCAAGATAAAAAGTATAGTGTTTAAAAAAAAATCGTATTGAAACTCATGCTCTTTGCCATCGCTGTAAACCAGGAGGTACCTAGCTCATGATGTGGACATTAGAACTTGAACATACAATACTTAAAAAAAAAAAAAAACACAAAAAAAAACAAAAAAAAAACCCTATGGTTCCCTAACATCTAGAATAAAGAACTCCTACAACTCGAAAATAACAATAACAACAACAAAAAACAAATAACCTCCTTAAAAAACGACAAAAGAATTGAACAGACATTTCTCCAAAGAAGGAAAATGGCCAACAAGCAAATAAAAAGGTGCTCAACATCACTAATTGTTAGGGAAGTACAAATAAAAATGAGATATCATCTTACACCCATTAGGATGGCTGCTACGAAACAATACCACCACCAACAAATTAACAAGTATTGGCTAGGATGTGGAGGAACTGGAACTTCTAGGCACCGTTGGTGGGAATGTAAATTGGTGCAGCCGCTATGGAAAATAGTGTGGCAGTTCCTCAAAAAAATTAAAAATAGAATTCCCATAGGATCCTGAAATTCCACTTCTGGGTAAAGCAGGGTCTCAAAGAGATATTTGTATACCCATGTTCACAGCAGCATTATTCACAATATCCAAAGGTAGAAGTAACTCAAATGTCATCTACAGATAAATGGATAAAGAAAATGTGGTATATTCATGTAATGGAATATTAGTCAGCCTTAAAAAGGAAGTAAATTCTGACACATGCTACAATATGGGTGTGCCTGGAGGACATTATACTAGGTGAAATAAAGTAGTTATAAGAAGACAAACGTAGGGGCGGGCAAAGTAGGTTTATAGTTGCTCCTATGGAAAATAACACAAGGATAACCTCTGTTTTGCATAAGCACAACTGGAAACCTACTTTTGCCCACCATGTTGGATTCCACTAATGAGGTACTTAGAGTAGTCAAACTCATATCCAGAAAGTAGAACGTGGTTGCCACAACAATGTGAATATACTGAACACTACTGAGCTACACACTTAATGGTTAAGATGGTAAGTTTTATGTTATGTGTATTTTATCACACTTTAAAAAAATAAACTGTGACGTCCAGTATTTCCCAGTATGATGGCGATGACAACAATGACACCTTACACATGCCCAGGAGCGTCTCTCTGAGAAGCCCAGAGCACTGGGCCTCCAGCCTTGCTGATGTCAGTTCTAAAAGATGACCCAGGATGAATTTCATTGTAAAGGCTGCACTCATCAGAGTTGTGTTTTCTTTTTCCCTACTAGCAGGAATGTTTTGTATATCTCACCATAGCATCTCTCTGAAGTCCAGGCCACCTGAACATTGGTGGCGGCTGACTCTGGGATTCTGGGGAGAAGATGCCTGCCTAAATGTCAGGATCCAGGAGAAGAGGGACCTGCAAAGTCAGCCCCCTTCTTTCTTTTTATTTAGAGAATTCAGTAACATAAAATTCATCATTTTTTCTCCAGCAAAAAGGTGACCATTTCTCTCTTTCTACTTTTGACTTTCAAACTGAACTCAGTGTTTAACTTGGAAGTAATTCCTGCCTAAAAATTACATGCAAGACTAATACCCCAGTTGCTCTCTGCCATCCAACATGACCTACCACCTTCTGCCATCCCCTGTCTTCCTTGTTTTGTTCCCCCAGAGCCACTTCTAGGTTTGGGAATCAGAGGCACTGTATAATGACACTCTATAAACCCCTTTTCTTGCATCTCAAACACAAGGGGAGAAAAGGCGGTGAGAAATGGACCCCAGAGAACAGATGCCCCCAGAAGAAATGCAAACAGCTTTTGGAAGGATACATTTACAAAAAAGGTCAGATCCACCTGGAAAGTACTTTAACAAAACAGAAAGCCCTTTTTTATTACAAGCAGCAGATGAGCAAAATACAAAAACCGCTGAAAGGTAAACCCCTATGATCAACTAAGAAAGCAAAACAAAACTGAAAGAGCAGCTCCTTCTAGGGATGACCAGCCACCTCTGAGCTGGAAGCCTCGAGGGTGCTCCAGAGAGTCCCTGGTGCCAGGTGCAAGAGACCTGCCAACTGCAGCTCCCCTGTGTGTTTCCTCCACGCATTTATTGGTGGAAAGGGCTCCACATACCAAAAAATTCCAATCTCCCCTCTGCTCCTCTACCCATGATGGGAGGGAACGTGGGCAGCTTCTGTCAGAGCCAGTGTGCAGTTCTGAAACCACTTGGGCTGAGGTCCCAAATTTAGAATCCTCCTTTACTCTGTCTGCTTCTTCTCTACTTTCTTACACAACATGGTAGTAAAAAATGAAAAATGTGGCAATCTGAGGACAAAGTAAACAATGATTTTTCCCTTTCATCACTGTTCTGGTTATCTTGCATGACTGGGATATAAACAACACGTGAGTCCACTCCCCCCTCCCCCCTCTGTCGTTTGTTTTTCAGTACAGACACTGCAAAATGTTCTGGAATGAAGAGATCAAACAAGAAGATACCAATGCTGGCCTCCTCTCTTCATTACTCTCCCTGCCTCTATTAATACATTCACAAAACCACAGAAGAAACCTACTATGTTTTCAAAAATGCCCAGAACAAAGCTCAGCAACCTCTGGCTAACCCTTAATAACAGTCCAAGAATGTAGTAACTTCCTTCTTCTAACTCAAATAGGAGACCTTCACATAGGTCTGAAAGCAGCAAGTCTTTGTGTAGGGACCTTCTATCGACTTCAAGTTCTTTATTAAACTGTCCCTCGTGGCCACAGGATGAATAATCTTGGTCCTTTAGTTGTTTCTGGGCTCTGATTTCCAATCCTTTAACTATGCCTCTGGCTCTTCTCTAGACTCTTCACCTCTTCCTTTACATAGGAAGCAAGGGCTGAAGACACAAAGCTCTAGTGACAGACATGCCTCATGGCTTCTTCAGACCCTGCACAGCTACAGCCCCTGGCTGTGCTGCTTCCTAAAACTCCAGGGCACTTCCTCATCTCACATTCAAGCTGCCCCTACCTCTTCTTCTCTACTCCTGTTTTTGTGTTAGTAAAAGAAGGAAAGGGAAAAAGGGAAGAAAGAGGGCAGAAAAAAATAGAAAAGGGAACTTAAGAATTTATAGAGATATGAAAATTATTTTAACAAGAAATACAAGCCAAAAGATTTGTTTTACCAAATGAAAAGCACATAAAAACAACAAACCTTTGCAGACAGCCTTGCAGCATGTTTTTACACACAATATCCCTGTGTTTTCCACCGCCCTTTGAGCACCCTCCGTCTGTCTGCAAACACAAGCTGATTTGTCCCATTTCAGATTTATGCTAATAGGTGAAACATGAGGAGAGGCTCAGCTGAATTCCAAGAAATAAGTTATTTAATGCACATCTGAAGGTCTGTGCTTTAAAGGCAAAGAAATTCTACACAAGGAAGCAAGAGATTCTAATTTCTTTTTCACAATGGCTGGATGAGTGTTCCTCTAACAACGTGTGGTTACCAGCTCTGCCCGGGCTTTTACATTCAGAGCCAGAGCAATTACCTCACATCACAAAAATAGTTTAAGACAGTTGAAGGAAAGAGAACCAGTTTGGTATTTTAGAGTGGCTATGAAAGGTTTTTCAGGGGGGGGAAAGAAAGCACTAACCTGTGTTGTTTTAATCCGCTGAAAACGACGAATTTCTCAAGTTCCCCTGCTATCTTCTAGCCAGTTTCCTGTAAGTGTTGCATGTGACATTATACTTCCTCACTGCACCTTCTTTGACTGCCTCTCTCCGCGGCGGTCAGAGCCATGTGATAGATTCACTGGCTGCCTGTTTCTCACTAGGGTAACCTGTGTTTTAAAAACGGTTGTGTACCGGAAAGGTGATTTTAGGCATCTCTCGGGCACAGGTAGAGGCGCTAAGCCTGGGAGGGAGGCAGGGGACAGCAATGTCTGGACTCCTGGCACTTCTGACTCCACAAGGAGGGGGAGAGGGAAAGGGAGAGACAGCCACTCTTGAGCTGCGGGTCCCCCTTCTTGGGGCTGGGGAGGCAGCTGAGACAGGGGCGGACCCTCGCAGCGCAGCTGGGTGTTCTCCGGTCATCAGGCCAGGCCCGGGTGCAGCCGCCCTGCCCTGGGGACCGCCGTGGAAGGGCGGCCTCGGCTCTGCGCCCAGGATATCCCCAGGCCGCACTCTAGAGGGCGCCACCACCAAGGAGCACACCCAACGTTTGGCTCACATTTCTGGATCCTGTGGTGTCACCCGGAATTCACTGGACCGGTCTCAAGTTCGCATCCAGTCTATTCAGTCCTGCTGTCACACAGAGTGCCCTAATTCTTGATTCAGCAAACCCAGTCACGACACTCCCTGCCTCCCAGGGCTAAATAACTGGCAGACATTTCCATTCTGCTGGTCTCCAAAATATGCCAGCCTTTTGGTTTCCGCTCAAAGGGCGGACATCGACATCTCCTTCCCGCGGGATGGTCGTGGATTCCTGGTGGCATGTGAGCCCTGGCCATGGGGCACCCTGATACTGGCCTGGCAAGAACACCAGGGGGCAGTGCCTGGATGTGTCCCTCAGTGTCCCCAACAAGGGGGAGACTGGAGAAGATCTGAGGCGGGACCAAGCAAGAAACACAGGGGTGCCCTTTCTGTCTTTCTTGTTTCTGTGGTCAGTGCCTTCCTCTTTCCTTGCAAAATTCCTCTTGCTCTCTGGAGGTCCAAACATGCTGGAATTGGTGGATGTAGGAAGTGGTATGTGGGAGTAAAACGATGCCCTGGACCGAGGGGAATACTCTGCAATTTGTACAACTTGACTCAGTGCAGGAACCCCAGAGTTGTTTCTATTTGGCTACCTTGGCATCATTTTTTTTAAATGCTTTTAAAGAGATTTTTTGTTTATTTTTTAGAAAGGTAACTGTAGACAAGCCTACTCTTCCAAGTCTTAAAAACACCACCCTATAATTCCCCAGTGAAGTTTTCCATGTGAGAACACCGAGTAAGAAAATGAGTCCTGAGAGTCAGAACTTTGGACAACAGTAAAACCCTGAAGTCTCACCACATGATTGCATTTCTGGCTTTGAAAACCTGTATAACTATTTTACCATTCTGACAACTGATGGCCGGTTTTCTGATTGAACTGAACAGTTAGATTAGCCAGTTGAGTCAAGATGGATATATGCATGGCCTTAGCTTTAAATTAGGAGTAATGGGAAAACCTTGCCATCTTGAAAAAACAAAATACTACATAGATGATAAATAATAATGACTCCATTTGAATGTATTTAGAAGTGTCACATTCTGGGTTAAGCTGCCAATTCCATTTTTCAACTAAGCAGTTACATATGTTCTACTTTAAGCCTTGGTCTGTGTGGAATTTTTAAAGGGCTTAACAAAATGCTTTATAATTTTCCTTTGAAATTCTTAACCTGGCGTCCTGTCCATGAGCGTTTTTTTCCCCCCTGTTTAGGCATTTAAAAAATTTTAACAGACTTTTTTTCATCCTTACCAGATGGCATTTATTTTTCATTGCTTTTTAGAGAGAGAGGAAGGGAATTGAGAAACATTGATGCTAGAGAGAAACATCGATTGGTTGCCTCCTGTACACACCGGGACCGGGTGTCAAACCCACAACCTTTTGGACTCAGGATGACGCTCCAACTGAGCCACACTGGTCAGGGCTGGACTTTTTTTTTTTTTTTTTTTTAAAGAACAGTTGTAGAGTTACAGGAAAATCAAGAAGATAATACAGAGTTCCCACTTTTTATGCACATAGTCTCCCCACTATTAAAATCTTACCTTTAGAATGATATATCAGTAACAATTAATAAACAAGTATTGATACACTATTATGAACTAAAGCCCATAGTTTATTTAGATTTTTCTTAGTCTCTCCCTATGTCATTCTTTCATTCTAGGACCCCATCCAGGACATCACATTACATTTAGTCCTCATGTATCCTTAGGTTCCTTTTGGTTGTGACAGTTTCTTAGACTTTTCTTTTTTTGATGACCTTGACAGTTGAGTACTAATCAGGCATTTTGTAGAATGTCCCACAATTGGTCTTCTGATGTTTTTCTTATAAGACTGGAGTTATGGGTTATTTGGAGTAAAATCAGAGAGGAAAAGTGCCATTTTAATCACATCATATCAAATATATATCCATGTATAGATCTATGTATGTGTACATAGATATATATTTCTCTGGCTAATTTACTACTGTCGCTGTTGGCCTTGCTCACCTGCATCAGTCTATGTCGGGTTTCTCCACTGTAAAGTTGTCCCCCTCCCCTTTCCATACTGTATGTAGTTTGGAAGAAAAACCTGAGGGTGGAGTATCTAGGTAAACGATTTGGAATTCTTCTGCATGGAAGATTTGTCTTTTTTACCTCTTTATTAATTTATTCAATCTTTTATTTATATCAGTATAGCCTCGTAGATATTTATTTTATATTTTGGATTACACTTCAACACTATTTTTTGTTCAATATTTTCCACGTTTGGCCATTGGTGGCTCTCTCATTTAGTGGTTCCTGTGCTCCTTTGACATACTTCTATCACTTTTGGGGTTCTTTGCTTTTTGTTTTTGAGACTTTCTTATTTTCTGACATACTACAAGATGCTGCAGGCTCAGTGTTTGTAGTACCACCCCAACCGTCCACAGCTTTTTTCTGCCTCCACAAGAGAATGAAAGAAAATAAATCTATGGGTCTGAGAAAATTTCTTTGCTTTTAATTTTCATCAGTTCTGCCACATGTATTAATAAAAAAAAATATTGCTTTCATAAAATTAGTGCTAGCCTCTACCAGTGAGAAAACACCAAAATACCACCTCAGTGAAATCCCGCATTTCCTTAATTCCAAGATGCATGTTTTTGTTGATGGTGGGGTTTTTTTCTTCATAGCTCAACATTCCTGGAATCAAAGTGTACATTTAAAATCATGTCCTTCCTCTCCTCATCTGTCATTAATGTGATGGTACACCTTACAGCTGATGGGGTAATAGAGCAGTCAATTCGTTCTTATTTGGAGCAGAGACATCAATTAACTACTTCCACTGATTTCCAGGGCCCCCCCCACCACCACACACACACTGAGCCCATATGTTGATTAAAGTGGTTTGATGTGTAGCATCCACAGACATTAAAACTCAAGATTTTCACCTACTCCCAGACTATTCTACCTTTACCACAAACCACAAATTCTCAAGTCCTAAATATAGATAAAAGAGGGGGCGTTACATTCTTTTCAAATTTTTGTGTGTTTACTATATGACTCCTTTCATGTTGCCTTTTCAAGATCTTACGAATCCATCATCATGTCTGAGGAGCCTAATGCTGACATTGAAGGGCTGCAAGAATGATGTTTCACTCATGTTAATGGGGAGCAAAGCGTTTACAGGTCAGGAAGGACAGGAAGGACGCCTTGATTCTGTCTTTCCTATTTAGAGAAGCCAGCTGACTGCAGATTGGCAGAGTTGGCCATTCCTTTCTTTGTGGCTAGGATCTTCTCTCTACCTCATGAGCCACCGCTGCTTTGGAAGCATCATGTTTTTTAGAAATTTTCTTTTAATAGACAGAGTCTTGTTCAGTCATTCAGCATGGGTATATGTCACAGTCACCCAAGTGATGCCCAATATTTTCATCCAGGTAAGCAGAACTTGGACACTCTAAACACTATTTTCTGTCTCACTCCTGCATAAAATGGACTAAGCTTCTGATAGCACCCTAATCATCTCACCAACCTCCAGAAGAGGCTGTAAGGAGATGCTGTGCTGACTTTCTTAGGAAACCATTGACCAAGCCCTTATCACATGTCAAGCATGGAGCTAAATGCTTTACATACATACTTTGGTTTAATTCTCTGTAATACTGTGAGGTAGGTACTGTGATCCCCACTTTACAGAAAAGGTAACCAAGTTAGAGACGCTAAATAATCTATCCAGTGCCCCTTGAAAAGTTTAAAGGCAATATGCAACCTCAGCTCTGCCTGATACCAGAGACGCAGGGCCTAATGCTGCTCTTTGCGGTCAATAGGTTTACCATCCATATCTCATAAACAGGCACTTTATAGAATGTAGTCCTGTTCTCTGATTACTTTCTGCACATGCTTTTCACCTCAACCAAAACTAAGTGGCAATTACGGGCAGGGACAGTTTCTTTCATCCCATTAACTCAGCTTTCCAACCTCCTTCTAGCAGCTTTCTCATAAATCCTGTCCTTCTGCCTTACTGCCAATCTATTTTTTTCTAATTTATTAGAAAAAAATTTATTAGAAAAAATCTGTAATTTTTCTAATAAAGGTAAATAATTTACCTTTCCCCCCTCCCCCATCTTGTTTTATTTTTTTCATTTATCAGCTTTTTAAATTACAAATATATTTTACTTTCAGGTCTTTTAAATAAAAGCCTTAACTTTTTATCTATGCATATCATTAGTTCTATCCCACACATTTCGATGAGTTTTATTCTAATTGTTAATTATTAAATAGTCTTTTAGTAATGATTTCCTGTTTGACCCAAGTATTTAAAAGGGTCATATTTTAGTTTCCAAGTGCTTGGATGGAGGTGGGGGTAGGAGCCATCTCCTGTTAATTTTCTTTCTTTTTTGTTTTTTTTGGGGGTGCATAGGTTCTTTTGAATTGGTGTTTTGGGATCCTTAGGGTATAATCCCAGCAGTGGAATCACTGGGTCAAAAGGTGGTTCCATTTTTAGCTTTTTGAGGAAATTCCATACTGTTTTCCACAGTGGCTGCACCAGTCTACATTCCCACCAACAGTGCACTAGGGTTCCCTTTTCTCCACAGCCTCGCCAGCACTTGTTGTTTGTTGATTTGTTTATGATGGCCATTCTGATGGTATGAAGTGGTATCTCATTGTGGTTTTAATTTGCATTTCTCTGATGGCTAGTGATGCTGAGCATCCTTTCATATGTCTCTGGGCCTTGTGTATGTCCTCCTTGGGGAAGTGTCTGTTCAAGTACTTTGCCCATTTTTTAATTGGATTGTGTATCTTCCTGGAGTACAGTCAT